TGTGTCAAGCACTATTCTAGGTCCTGGAAATACAGAGTTCCTTCCCTCATCTCCTAATAGGTGGGACAGACACATATATGTATAAAGTGGAAGTTTTCTTCTGATTGTTTCTATTTTCTCAGTAATGTAGGATTCATGATTATCAATTGAGAGCAAAGATGGGAAAGGAGTGAGGAAGTGTTAAAGGTGTGAGGAGAAAGGAGTAGGTATGAACTGTAATCTGTGAGTGTGAAGAAGAGAGTGGGCAAAGGCAATCTATCAGGTTTGTGAGCAGCACTGATGTCTACTTGAGGCCAGTAGTCATGAGTTTCACTAGTATCTGTGAACATAATTATGTGTTTTACTCCACCCGTGTTAGGTCAAAGGTGTACAGATATAGAAGTAGGTGAAGAGTTGGATTTAACCAGAGTTAGAGTTTGGTCAGGTGAGTAAGATGAAAAGAATCAGGGAGCTCAAGGATCAGGGAGCAGGATCAGAAGGTCAGGGAATTGAGGATGCTTGCAAGAGAGTAGGTTGAGAGTATTTGCCGAGGATTTAGGAAATAGTGTTTTGGGATACAGAAAGACAAGTGCATCCACTTGCTGGCAAACCAGAATGCAACTTTTAATCCCAGAGCAAGGACGTTTTACTTCTTATTGTGAAAAGGTGTCGTGATTGAAACAAGGGCCCGAGTCTGTTGAAGTTTTGCCAAAATTGATTGGATTGACATCAATCTCCTACTTCTGGTACTTTTTACCAAGAAACATATGGTTGAAAGACTTGAGTACACTGGCTAAATCTGAATTTTATTTCTGAATGGTATCTGGGATAGTAACTATAACTGACAGCAGCCAACTAATTTGAGTGTATCTCTTCTTCAAAATGAATTTTATGATCACCAAAACTTCATGCTCAGTTGATTTTTGCCTTTAAAATGAATGGCACCAAGTGATGTCAGCAATACCTTTGATTTATACCGTGATGGATGGTAGCAAAAACCATTGGAGAGGAAGGAAAGCAGTTTGGATGAAGTAGTTAATATGTGGCAGGAACTTTATAGTCTTTATAGCACATTTCTATAATTCTGGAAACTACTGTTCTTATCTCATTTTACTGTTCAAGATCGTGACACTCAAGCCTCACTGATTTCCAATCCCATGTCATCTCTATGGCACTGTGCTGACTCATTCTTTCCAGTGGAAACTTATTGTTTGGGTTTAAAGATGTCCCTTTTCCCTCCAAATTTTTCACCTTAATGGTATTTTCCCCCTGCTCTTCTTTTTAACAAACAAAACAAAACAACAACAAGAAAAACCACAACCCAAACCAAAACAAGTACAAGTTGAGAATACATTGGTTCTGACAGAATTTTACTGTTTTGAATCAACAGAATTTACTGAAAATAATACAAGGGGGCAAAGTGTTCTTGTTATCTTTTGTTCCTGGTATTGAGGTCTTGGAACTGTTGCTCAGGTAATCAGTCAGTGGTACTCAATACATCATTTATAATAATACAAAGGGGAAAAATTACAGCCAAGAAATCCATTCTGTTGATTAGCCATATGTGTTCTAAAAGAGATGGCTCAAATCTCTGCCCATTTATACTGTATAGTATTTTCAAACAGATTTCAAAATTGCCAAAACACTTACAGTGTGAAATGTCCTGTGCCAAATAGTTATGGCATCTTTGTGCCAATAATTGAGACAAAAATTTTCTGTAGGATGAAAATAAGGGCAAAAAATAGCAATCTTCCCCTGTGGGAAGCCAATGATTTTCTTTAGAGAGGAAACAACAGATGAAATATGAGTAATTACACCATGTAGTCTCTTTGGCCAAGAGTATAATTGTTTACCTAAGCTTTTTTTCTTATGGATTAGAATCTTGTGTTGCAGTCCAGTAGATGGATTTGACTGCCTCTGCAACTTCCTTTTATTTTTAAGATTAAGCAGTCCATGACATAGAGGTTAATTGCAACCCAATAGAGCTAAACTAATGTTTTATTAAGAAGGAGTTGGCATCCTGAGCTTTTAGGAGAACAAATGTTCTCATAATACCATGAACAACTTACAGAGCAACTATTAGGCTCTTCATATTCATCTGTCTGTTCACATTATCCTGTATCGACCACATCTAAGTAACATCAGCAAACTGTGCTGAATAATCAGTCACACAGTTAAGTCTCTGTAAAGGTGAGATCAGTAAATATATCTCTGGGAGAAGTTAGAACTGCTGATGTGTTTTTTTTCCTCTGACCTAGACAGTGTGGCTGCTCAACTTTTTCAAAGTTTGTACCGTGGGGGTTGGTGACAGATCAAATGAACTAATTTATCTAATAACATAGGCAGTTCTAGACGTGTCCAAGAGCACAGAAGGACAAGCCTAAGGAAATTCACTGTGGCATTGTTAGTGACAGTGAACAATCTAGAAACCACTGATATGTGCATGAATTGAACATATGAATGATCAGGAATGAGCAAATGCCTAATTTTCTGAGATGATAAAGGTGGAGGCAAGAATCAGTGTCATGTGGGTGGGTCTACGTAGAGGTGGAGGGATGGAAGGGAACTGGAGCACTGTCATGTTTCCTACGGCTTTGGTTTCTTCAGTAACCTATTTGACGAGGTAATCTGCTGAAAGTGAGGAGAGGCAGCTGGTAAAAGGGTCTCAAGAAAAATGATGACTATTTAGGAATGAGGATGACAAATAAAGCCCTGAACCTAGGAAATGGGGGAACGCATACTTTTTGATAATTTGTATTCTTCCATGTGTCATTGAACTTATTCCTTCAGTATATCCTCAATGTTTTTTTCCAAAATATTTTCTGGGTGAACATTATTATACACAGGGGATGAAAATAGGCTGGTCTTTTAATCCAATACTCAGATGTACCAAGGGGTATAACATCACCTGTCTTAGAAATATGAAACTTCAATAAGTAGAATAAGATTGATTTGGAAGTTTCTAAAAAATATTCAGTGCAATTATAATATTCAGTTGATGTAAGAAAGAGAAGTGACCACAAGGAAATATTTGAGTACATATTTTGCCAACATATAGTTACTATGATCTAAAGATGTTCTTCTCACTTTTGCCCAACAAAGCAAAACCAACCCTATACAATGCAAAGGGAGCACAGAATTTTGTGGACAGCTAGCCACGTTGGCTACGGGGACTGTATTATAGATATGAGCAAAACTCAAAGGTCACACATAAGATTACTTATTACTTTACAGCCTCACTTGAAATATATGATGAGTCCATATAGAAGTAAAATACTTTTGGTTGATACTTGTCATTAGTTCTGGATGCTATGTTATTTCTGAGATCATTTGAATATTATCAAAAATGTTGATTATGTGTGAAAAACTGAGACTTTCTCTTCTTATTTTTAAGGTTGGACCAAATTTGCCCGGTTGACACGGGCTTTGACAAATAGCCGAAGTGTTTTGCAGCAGCTCACGCCAATGAATAAAACAGAGGTGGTCCACAAGCATTCAAGATTAGCTGAAGTAAGTGTGAGACTAACTTTGCTTTCCAAGGTGGTGGTGGTGGTGCATTACCCCCTTCCCAAATGATTCAGTATTGATATTTTTGGCTATTATTTTACAAATGCTTATCTGATAATTTATTTTTCCCTTACAGAGTTATAGAAATTTCAGATATTTCTTATTTTCTCTTTTTAAATTGGAAAGCAATTCATGACTTCCCAGGTGATGTCTGGAGTGTGAGGTGTCCTTTGAGCAAATGAGATAGGGAGTTCATGCATTCATCCATTTATGGATGCAGCACACACATATTGAGGGTTTGCTCTAAACTTGGTACTCTGCAAAGGAGGTAGGTATGAAATAAGCAATGGGCTCTATCATCAAGGAGATAAAAACCTAGCAGAGGAATCCGGTAATGGGATGGGATAAATGTTATGACAGGTGCAGTGGGAGCACATGCGGGGCTCTGGAGAGGGCTACCTGAATGAGATGATAGCTGGGCTGAGTGAATCTTGAAGGAAAAATATAAGAGGCAGGTAAAGAGAGGCCAGCATATGCAAAGGCTCAAAATGAGATAGTGCGATGACTTTGAGAGTGACTTCAGTGTGGGTGAAGTTAGGTGGGGAAGGAAAAGTTAAGGTGGTATATAGTGAAACAGTGGTGGTTGGTGTCCCATATGCCAGGGAAGTGACATGACTGCATTCATGCTTCAGAGAAACCTCTTAATGGGAGATTGGTCCCAATGGCTTCCTTTGCAATCCCATATTTGTGTTGCATTAATTTAAAAAGGTTATTCTAAGAAGAGGTCCATAGATTTCACCAGATTGCCCAAAGAGATCCATGGCACAAAAATGTTTAAGAACCCCTGCTTGACCTAGTGGCTCTGTGCTGAACGGGTAGAGAGGGAAACCAGTTAAGAGTTTCTAGTGGACATTCAGCTGGGATGACCATGGCTTTAATCAAGGGATCCCGAAGCAGAAGTGGGCAGATTGCAGACACATCAAGATCAGAGTCAACATGTTTGTTGATAGATTAGAATTGAATGTGAAATAAGGAGATGAGTCCAGGTCAACTCTGTGTTTTTAGTGTGAACAACTAGGTAGATAGTAAGTGCTATTGGTTAATAGAATGGTAAACGTAAGAGGAGGAAGAGAAAGTTTGGAGGTAATGATAATGAGTTCAGTTTTGAACATACTGAGTTTGAAGTGCCTGGCAGGAAATCTGAGTGGGGATTTATGGGTCAGGCCCCAGAGGGATATTTGGGTTTGCATTGTAGGCCTCGGCGTCATCTTCACAGATATGGCTGCCAAAGCCAAGGATTAGACCATGTTACTCAGAGTCAGTATATTGAAACCAGAGAGAAAAGGAATGAGCACAGAACTCTGGGGCAGCTCAAAGCTTTGTTATTCCCGTGTCTTCTGTAATCATCATTTGTCTTCCTGATATGAAAGATGCCAAAAAAGCTGATCAAGGTACCAAAACCATGCTGAGCATTTACTGGGGATTCACAAAATATTCTGAGATAACTGAGAAAAGAGAATTAAATGCATGTGTTCATCAGTTTGTTCTGCTGGAGAAAGGTGAGTTGAAGTGCACAGGAGAAACTTCCTTCACTAGCTGAAGATATTAGTTTGGTTTGGAGAGGGTTAGGAATTAAGTATGTTCCTTTGAATTTAAAGGGTTCTGCACTCGTTCTTGGACCAAAGCTGACAGAGGGACTTGTATTGTTTTCTGCTATAAATAGACCTGTTAGCTTGGGGAGAGAGTCATACTTTTATGAGCGGACATGTTTATAAAAGCCCAAATAAGACTTAGCACTAAATATTAACTAAATAATCATCACAATATTTTAAAAAAGATGATATGCAATTGGTACAAGATTTAAAGTAGATAATTAGATACAACTTCCTTTTTCAATAATGCTTGTTACTAAGTACTACTCATTTTTGAAGCAACTTTTTTTTGGCCTTGAGTTGTCTGTTTCTTTCTACAAATCAAGCTGAGGTGTAGGAGTTTGTTTCTGTGACTGCTGACTTTTATAGTCATGATTCTTTCTGGGTCTTAACTACACCCTATTTAGAGCTTTCCTTTTTTTGTTAACACATTGGACAAGAACAAGAGGAAAGGGACCATGAAGAAGAAAAGGAAAATTTTCTACATTAACACCCGAATCACTCATGATTTTTTTTTCTCTCTCCATCAAGTGGAAAGTTTCTCTTCCGTTGACAGCTCATCATATTTACTTTTATTTTTGAGGAACTCTCATTCTGGTTTCTTCTCATCTGATTTTTTTTTTGCTTTGTTTTTTGATTCTTGTTAGTTTCTTTATCAGTCATCCCTAATTCACAAACCTGAATCAGATACAAAACTACTTTCTGTCAGGACTTAGCCTTGGTTTCAGAGAACATACAAGAAAAACAAGGTTCTCAATATATTTAGTCAGATATCCAAGGACGGACCCAGAACAAGCACCAACTTAGCACAGAGATATTGTCTTTTCAGGCGTTCTCAGGATCTTATAATTTGCTCAACCAGAGTATTTGGACTTGCTGTTGAATTTCAATAGCTCTTTTTACTTTCCCCAAGATATTTAAATTTTATTTTAACTCCACCGGGACATCTAAATTTGGAGCTGGTCTCCATGTAGGCAATGCACCAATTTTCTAGATGCACTGACATCCTGCTGATTGGCTTCAGCTTCTCCCTTTCACACTAGGTAGAGGCAAACATACCACTGTCCATGGTTCTGACTACATTAGCGTGAACACTCAGATATTCAGAGAGAAAGAATGTATCTGTATTGGTACAAAAATATAACAGAAAACTTTATTTTATCTACCCGCCACCTAAGGCTTATTGCTTAGGAAAGTACAAATGAGAATAAAGAGTTGTTACTGAACTGGTTTATAAAAAAGCCCCAGTAAGGGAGTTAAGATTAAAGTAGTGCTCTGTATGTGAGAAAGATCAAAGCTTAAGCATATACCCCTTTAGTTGTTGCCATTCTTTTTCCTCTTCCTCTTCTTTTTTTTTCTTCTCCTCTCTCTCTTCATAGCATTTTGGAATCACTTTATATATGCAAGTCACTGTCTGAAGAATGGGGTTCTGAATGTCTAAAGAAATAGAAGATAATGGTTTACTTTGTACTGTAAATTATAATCACTTGGAAAGGTTCTGAAAACCCACACAAGATTAACAATTATTTTCTGGGGTGGGGTATAGGTATGAGTATACTATGCTTTAAAATTTCTTCAGATGATTCTAGTTTGTAACCAGATTTAAGAAATACTGTACTCTGGAGTGATCCCATTCCATCTCTAGAGGATACATCCTACATTATTCCTGGGTACCAAGCAGGGTGGATTTGTCTTTCTTTTAGCAAATCATGTAGGGCCCGCAACACTGTCAGAGCTCTGTGGGATGTTTGAATTTCTATTAATAGTTGAAGGAAGAAATGAGCTTCAACTCCTTTTCACAATTTCCAAATTCCAGGTTCTGGAAAGCAATGCTAAATCCTGTTACCATGCCCAAGACTTCCCAGACCTCCACTCATGCTCTGTCCTCTGCTTTTTTGGGTGTGTCTTTACTTAGACCTAATCAAAGTAAGTCAAGGTTCATATAACCTTGCACTGAAAAACTTTCCATTTGTCAAAAAGGTATAGAGAAGCAAACTTAAATATTTAGTTTTTTTTCCCCTAAAGGGAATTTAAATCTGGATAGGAAACACAGTATTCTTTTAAGTCCTGATTGAAGGGAGAAAAGAAAAAGATAGGCTATAACATTTTTAACCCTGATATCACTGTTCCAGTTATTAGGGCCTTTGCTGAGTCCCACTCAACAACATCACCAACATAGGGTTCAGCAAGGCCATCAGAATTAAAGTTATGCTCCCTGAGGTGCGTAAGATGTGTGAATAACAGTGGGTCACCCAAATAATTGTTGGACAGTCAGTGAGACACATGTGATTCCATGCATACTTGCCAAGTGAGTGTGCAGAAGGCACTCCCAGAAGTGGATGGCCAGCAGTGCTGTGGGTCAGTATTGGTGTTGGAGGAGGCCATTGAGAAGAAGTGATCGCTGTTTGACCCTTCAGCTGGACCTGGGCAATTGGTTCCTTTCCCCTGTCCTTGGAATGTATGCTCTGTCCACCCTTCCCACAGTGGGAGCCATTTTCAAGGACATAGTCTTGAGAGAGCTCTGTGTTAAGAGTCATGTACAGCGTGCATGACTGAGCCCAGTGCAGGTCTACATGTAAACTTTCAAGATTCTGGTGGGTAAGTGTAGAGATCTACTCATCTGCAGTCACCCAAGATGAGCCTTGTGCAGAAGTTCTCTTGCTTATTAAAACTGTCACCTACCATCTGGAGTGGTCTGCCTCTTTATTCGGTCTCTTACCCTCTGCATATGGTGCCCAAATTTGTGCATCAATAGTTGGCCACTGGAGAAAAATCTGGATGGAGCAGCAGTCACATCAACTTTGGTAGAAGGATTGGACTTGGGATGACTTCCTTTGAACAAACTTTGGTAAAACTCAGGAGAAGAAGGAGATGGAATTATAGGGCGTGACTGGCCTTGAAACCAGAAGTCATGATAATGGGCTGTGGTTTGACTGCCAGTAAGTTTGAATTCATTACTGACTGTGCAAAGATGTCCACAGTACTTATATGTGCATTTTCTCTCTTTTTTAGGTTCTTCAGCTGGGGTCAGATATCCTTCCTCAGTATAAGCAAGAGGCACCAAAGACGCCACCACACATTATTTTACACTACTGTGCTTTTAAAACTACTTGGGATTGGGTGATTTTAATTCTTACCTTTTACACCGCCATTATGGTTCCTTATAATGTTTCCTTCAAAACGAAGCAGAACAACATAGCCTGGTTGGTGCTGGACAGTGTGGTGGACGTTATTTTTCTGGTTGATATTGTTTTAAATTTTCACACGACCTTTGTGGGACCTGGTGGAGAGGTCATTTCTGACCCCAAGTTGATAAGGATGAACTACTTAAAAACTTGGTTTGTGATCGATCTGTTGTCTTGTTTACCTTATGACATCATCAATGCCTTTGAAAATGTGGATGAGGTAAGTTTCTCTTTTTTTTTTTTTAACACGATGGATCATGTTTTGAGAAAATTAAGATAAAAGGAACTTGTAGATAATAAAAACTTCTTTTTAGCTACCAATTAGTTTTTATCTGCTTTTTCCACTTGATTTCTGGTTGAAAAGACTAATAACTAGGAAAATGGCTGAGGTTGGAAGTTGTGGTTGGGAGAATTGGAGGATGTGGTTGGAAGAGGTGGAGCAGAAGAAAAACAGCAACATTGGAGTCAAATACAGTTCATGAAATGGATAATTGATTGAAAGTTGATTAAATACATGTATTTACTTTAGAAAATGTAGCATTTTAAAACTCCATATATCCATAGCTCTTTTGTTACCATATGTACTAGATATATGTAGTAGCAGTGGTTGGATTAACATAAGAAGAAAACTTTTGTGACAAAGTAGTTTTGAATTTTTGTCTTTTGGTTTCTTTATAGCTTTTTCTGTAAATGTATCTAAGTTTATTTTCAGTGAGAGACTACATTAGGTGTCTTCTGATATCTTGTCTAATTGGAGATTCTGCTAATTCAGTGTTATCCGCACAACAAAAATACTTAAAACATGTGTATCTTAAAACAATTTCATCCGGAGTTTCTTAGCCTCTAATTTAATAATGGATAATTTCAACTTGCTACACCAAGCTAATGTGATGCAACCAGTTGTCTCAACTAATAATATGTAAATGAGCCAATATAGAATCTATCTGTTATTAAAATGTGTTCATAATGATATTACAAACTTAATTTCCCTGAAGATTCTATTCTGTTCCTTGAAGACTGCCAAATGGAAAACTCCCCACTATGTTGTTGTTGCTGTTGTTATTCTATGTGTGTTGGGAGGTAGATCTAAACTTTTCTTCAGTGACTTTTCCCCCCGATAAAATTTTCTATTTTCAATCAACTTTAACTATATTTAAAAACCTATTTTGCCTGAATGTTACATATAGACATTATATCTTGATACTGTACATGTAATGGTTAGTTTAAAAATTATGGTGAAAAAGGAATCATAGGGATTTTACCTATATCGAGCAATTAAAGGTACATTTATTTCTTTCCAGTTTACCTTCTGGAAAGGGTTGAGAGGGATTGGTTTTAAAATGTTAATCATGTGATAAGGAGATAATAAGAGAATTTATATTAAACTCACTAAATGGATTAATATATTAAAATTAATACATTCAGATTTCAGTTATTTAGAACATAGACATAAAGATTTCAAAAAAAATAATCAAAGGATTGATTCAATTCATAGGAAAGAAAATACATTAAATCCATTACATAATAAATGTATTTGGTATAATATATAAATACATCAGAAGATCCTCAGCCTCATTCATGTGAAGGAAAATACAAAGTAAAATAACAAATGCCCCTGACATCCTATTTTTAGTAATCACATTGTTAAGATCAAATGGCTGCTAACAGGCGAGGATGGTGAGCACTGTGGCTAGGGAGGTGCCCTGCTCACATCTCCCTGCAGGAAAACGGCTGCCTGGAGCACGCCTAGTGTCCTGCAGGATCCGGCTCTGGTTTGGGAAAGCCAGTTGTTAGCAGCTTTCAAACTCAGCATTCAGTGAGTCATCACACTGGCACACTGGTGGCTTGAAACTTCCCAGAGTGGAATATTTACACCCAGAAAGCTGCAAATGCTACAAATACAGACTTTTTTTTTAATTTGCTGTAGAACCGGCTGTTCATCATTTACCAATACACTGCTGAACACAGTTGAAGACAGCTGCCGAATTTTCTGATCTGCCCAGGTTCACACACTGCAGCCACATTTCCCCAAGGCGAGGAATTTCCACAGTGACTAAGGATGGGGGTGATATTATAATTCACCGATTCCTGATCATTGTAGAACTCCCTATTGAGCAGTTTTTGCTCTGGACTTCCCCTTTACGGGTACTGTAGTCTGAGGCTGTTGCTACCCAATCGTTCCTTCCCTTCTTACAGTTGTCAGAACTGCACCGTGGTCCTCCCTCCTCCCTTGATCCTTCCCAGGCATTTATTTCAGTGAAATTTGTGCACATCTAACCCTGACTTGGCCTCACTCCCAGGGGACTTGAGTTGACAAAGTGATGGTGTGGGCACGCTCATACATTGCTCCAGGGAGTATAAATTGGTAGAACCTCTATGAAGACTAATTGGCAATATTTGGTTTTTTATAAAAGAGCAGAAGCTAGAGGAAGTTACTTTAAATTGTTTGGAGGCTTCTTTTATTATTTGCTTCCTTTGTCACCAAACAGTAAGATTATGTACCTACCTCTTGGCTTTTCAGTTTTAGGTCTTGTCTTCGACTTCTCACTATGGAATTTGAGGTTTTAACCTTCTTTCCCCTCCTGTCCTCACTATATACATGCACTATTTCCATCACCCCCTTCTCACAATATAGATTTATCCTTTTGGTTCAATAGATAGTAGGTTTTTATATCATTAAGATTACAAATATGCTGCTTATAACTACATTTCAGCTATGATGCTCTGGTTACTTTTCCTTTTATGTACTTTCCATTTTCCCGAGAGTTGCTAACTGTCTGTTTTTATCATTTGCTTGTCACTAATCTCGCTATCAATTGTCTAAATCTCTCCTTATTATAATAATGAAAACAATATTCTATCAACATCATTTTCTTAAACAAGCATCTCTTCTTTCTACCCTCCTACTATATTGACAGTTTAGCTAGCTATAATATTCCAGGCTAGAGATCGTTTCTCTTCATAATTTTGCAAGTCATAATGCCACTGCAGTCTACCTTCTAATAATTCTGTTAAGCAACTCGAAGCCATTGTGATTTCTGATCCTTTACACCTGACCTATTTTCTCTTTCTAAAAGTTTGGTATATCTTTTCTGTCGCAGAGTTCTGTAACTTACTCATGAAATGCCTTAGTGTGTGTCCATTTTCATTAGTTTTCCTGAGCACGGACTGGGTGGTCTTTTCAATCTGGAAAGAGCACGTCTTGATTTTTTCTTATGTTCTTCACCTTCTCCCCCTTTTTCTCAGTTTTTTCCCCCCAGCAATTCTTTTATTTGGATATTGTACCTACTGGACTAGTCCTATAATTTCCTTGGTTTTTGTTCCCCTTTTCTATTTCTCAATATTTTATCTTTTTGCTATATGTTCTGGGATGTATCTTCAATATTATTTTCTAAGTTTCTTTGTACTTAATAATGTTTTTTATTTCTTTTTTTGCTTAAGGTCTATTGGCTTGATACTATTAGGGGGATGGGGGGACATGGGGGCGGTGAGGACACATTTGTAATACCTTAATCAATAAAGGAAAAAAAAAACTAAATTCAATTTGGCATATATTTCTATCCATTAACTTTTTACCATTCTGGATTATTATACTGTAGTTGTATTTTTTTATAAATAGTCTATAGATTTTGAAAATCTCCCTAATTGGCAAATTTAATCTATGTAAATTTACTGAGATGAATTACACTTTAATTTACTTATAGGGTATATTATTTTCCATTTTAAACTTCTTTTTCTTTGCTTTCTCTGTGTTTTTGATTTTAGTTTTCTTCCTCTCTGTTATGTTTTGGGTTGATTGAAGTTTTCTTTAATTTCCTGGGTCTCCCCACTGGTTTGGAAGTTTTTCTAATTGATTACTCTTAACATCAGGACCAGTATTTTCACATCAATATTTGACTTATTGTTGTCTTTTCTTTTCTCCTCAATAATTCAAGGACCTCTGTTCATTTTCTCATCTTTCAAATTTTTACTGTTTTGTACTTTGGTTCCACATTGTTTTTAACTTTCTCTTTTTAGTTATTATATTATTGTCTTACTTAATTACAGCATTTATTTAGTGTTCTCCACACGTCTACCAGTTTCTTTGTTGATACAATTTTATATGTTTTTGGCCATCTATTTTTAGTTCAGTTCCTGTAGGTTGCCTCTTCATTATCTATTACATAATATCCAACTTTCTGGAACATACTTTTTACAGGAAGCCTTCTTACGTTATCCCCAAGCAACTCTAATGAATATCTTCACCATATTTTATCTTTACTCATGTTGTCATTCACATATTGAAATTACTTTTGTTTTGTTGCTTTATGTGTGTTCATGAGCACTGTACCAGTTGTCTGGTGACCTGGGTGTTATGCCTTCTCTAGGACATATCTGTTGTGAATGGTTTCTCTGGCTGTCAGTCCTAACTGTAAAAAAAGAGAGGGAATGCCTGACTGATTTATATCACAAGGTAATTATAAGGAATAAATGGGAAAAGAGACATGAATGAATTTTGCTTGTAGAACTCTTCCTGTCTGAGGGATATTATTATTTCATTTCTGTATGTTTCTTTCTTCAGCTTGATTATAAGCCCTGTGGTGGTGCACAATGTGGTCCATCTCCTTGGTGATCCTTTTTGTGCTCTGAGTACTTAGTAGTGACTCATTGACTTAAAGCAATGAAGTGTCAGCAAGGTTTAGGAAATTGTACAATGACATAAAACAAACTAGAACTTAGCAGTGAGGAAGTGAGCTAATGGTGGCTTGGGAAAAGGCGAGTGTGAGTCTGAAAATCACAGTTTGATCCTTTAACATGATGCAGGTCCACAATGACTTAGAGGCCTTAATAACACTCTTTATTTTCAAGACTGTCTCAATTGCTGTGCCCACTGAAGGTAATTTGATTTACCAGGAATTCATGAACTGGATATGTGACTTTTTAAAAAAGAGAACTGGGAGGCAGGGAAGACAGCGTCC